AGCCACTGGGGACTGTTCGAATCAGCAAAGCTCTGCAAAACTTTGCCGAAGATTCGGAGAGCTCTGAATCGATTTGGACCTTTAAATTGGTCCCGATTCGATTTGGATTCAGAGATTCAGCTGCCAAATCTCCTCCAAATCAAATCACCACCCGAAGCTCCGCACAGCCCTAGTATTTACCAGGTATACAACCAACAGCAACATGGATACATTCTTTGATGTTGTGGCTATGCCAGGCAGCATTCAATAGGTTAAAGGTGAACCCAGTCTTTTATGAATATTTGTTAAATAATTACACTGTCAAAATGTTTGTAGTAATAGATATTTCTGCCCTCTCTTTTTTTCCCAGGCTCTTATTTCACAGGAGATAAATTACCGTGCAATGGGTAACTGTCTCCAAAGGACACTGGTAAATTCAAGTGCAAGGCACTGATATTTTTCTTATTTTCTTGCACATTAACATATTTATAAACTCAAATAAAATCTGTGCGCACATAAAAAAGCAGATCTTAAAGAAATTTTTAATTTTAGTATATGTCACAGAATAAGATATCACATGGAAAATAGTTTACAGAAATTTCTATTGTATAATTACAGATCACAGTATTATACAACATTGGATGTCATGGTTCCCCTGCTTTACCTATGGCAGGTTAGTTTGTTGTGTTTTCTGTTATGTTATGGTTGAAGCTAGTTTTATAAAAAGTAAGATTATGGATTTATATAGGATACTTTAGATAGGGATGATCCAGCCTCAGGAAGGGGACTGTAACTGATAAACTCTGGAGATCCCTTTCAACCCTACTTCTCTATGATTCTGTGACTCTTTTCTAAGTTAAGCACATGAAAATGTATCATGGACATGTTCCTATCTAAGGCTACACTTAAAACAATCTTAAAATAATTTTTCACATGGAGTGTAGGAACTTCATATGCATTTATTCTTGTGCCCCTAATAAAAGTACTTCTGAAGAATACAACTGCATCTATAGCAGACATTAAAATGAAGGCCTACAAACTAAAAATTCTTACTTTTTCTCAAGCATATGTCAATTACTTGTCTAAAATGTGTGACTCACTACCACATCTGTACAAAATAAAACTAAATACCTTAATTGTATCTGCTTCCGTTTCTGTAGTTCTTGATTTCTAAGTTCTTCCAAACGCCTCAGTTCTTCTTGGCGCCTCATGAGATCTGCAAGAAAGTAGACCTCCACAATAAGGAAACTCAAAACTTCCTCTTTCAGCATTCAATAGGTTAACCCAAGGTGTGCATCTTACTCAGGTCATTTGATATGCAAATAAAAACTTTCAAAGGAAGGAGCAAAAAATCTGGAAGCCAGAAGCTTTATGTCAGACTTATACTTACCCCTAATAAAGAATTATTCAAAACCTGAAATCTGAGGTTTTATTTCTCTTCCAAAATTCTTTGGCTAGTTATCATTATCCCCAACACCTGTGTATTATTTTTAGTTGCATTTTCAGTTTAGAAAAATTCTTGGCCTCAATAACATCCTGTACCAAAGCAATACACTATAATTATCGATCATATAAAAAATAAATAAATATATTTGTTCTGAGATTTTCTCCTTTTATTGTCACTGAGTGTGCCTTGCTCTTGTGTTCTATTACAGGGATTGAAAATGTTTTCCAGCATAGCAGGGGACAGAACGACCCCAGTCAGGTCAGAAGTGGGCAAGCGTCAGGACCAACACACTACTGCCACTTCTTCCCACTGCTCAGCTGCAATGGTGCAATAGAAGCCTCCTCTCCTGGAGCCCTAAGTTGCCAGCCCCTGTTCCAGAACAGTACAACGGAAGCCCCCATAATTCTGTATAATTTTATCATGCTTTCCTTTAGTAGTTTCCATTCTAAGGTCCTAAACTTTTCAAAGTCTTCACTATAAATTTTCCTTTTCCCAAATCAATACAGTTAACCTGACACATCAAATACAGAAATAATTTAATTTTTCCTTCCAGTATACATTGCTTTTCAATTACTAACTTTGATCTAAATCTGCTATTTGGTTGCCCATTTTTCTACTTTGATTAAATTCTTAAGAATATTCCTCACAGCTTATTCTAGATATAACTAACCTGAACTTTGTCATCTACAAAAGTTATTACCTTAGTCCTCCCCATCTTTCTAAACTGTTAATTTATTAAACATCAGGCAGGACACAGACCCCTGAGGCACCCTATTGTCAGTGTTAGACTATGATCATCATTTATTCCTAAATTTTTAAATTTGTGTTATGGTCAGCTTTTGCTCCAAGATAATCCTCTCACACTACAAGACCATTTATTTTCTTTAGTAGCATCTTAAGAAGGACCTTGTCAAAAACCTTTTCAAAACTTAAAACAATGCCACACTGATTATTTTAGCACCATGACCAAAGATACTAATAGAGTAATATAATCAAATTTTCTTTGAAAAAAATAATAATGGTAACAACCTATAAGTTGAGCTTCCAAATGTTTTATCATGGTATTTTAAATTTACTAGACACAAATACAATGACTTCTACAATTACCCAGATCACCTCAAGCCTTAATTCTGGAAGTAACATTCAATCCTGTGATATAATAGGAGAACAAGGTCAATATAGTAAACATCCCAAAACACCAGTTTTCAAACTTGTTTGGCCTCACAGGCTGGATACAGGAAGTACCACCATTTCAGCAGAGCTCCAAAACCAAGAGAGTTGATGCTGTTACTGCTTGTGCTCCCTTATCCCCTACCACCAATCTTAAGACCAGGGGCAATTAAAAATCCTTATTTCAGCCGCAGGTGTAGCAAGGCAAGTGGCATTAACTCCCTCCCTGGATTCTAGAGCCATGCTGAAACAACTGCTTCAGAACCCACACCGATTAACACCATCACCACAGTGGCTCTGGCAGCTGCAATTACAAGCCCTGGGAGCCAAATTTGGCCTGTGGGGCATATATTTGACACCTCTGAGGCACACCATCAGAAAATATTACTGCAAATAAAAGACATTAGAAGGGTATTGTCTAATAAGCATGTACTTCTGGGCTTCTGCATCCCAAATGACCCAAAGCAAAGTGGCTCAGGTGTGAATACCATAAAAGGGTACTACCTTTGTTAGCAGTCTTATTAGAGGCTGCAGGCATAGCCTAGGAAAAGTTATTACCAAGTAATAATGATAAAAAATATGCATGTGAAACAAACTTTAGACAGACATGAATGCATAAATGAAGTGACATCCAAGACAGATGAGGCCAGGACAGCAAGAGGGCTTGTTTTAAGTCTTACAATCAATGGAAAGCATACTATGGATCAGCTAGATTGATAATAGGATTGAAGTCAGATCTGTGCAAAAAAAAAAAAAAAAAAATACAGTACAGGTCGGCTTTACAGGGAAACTTTCATCAGTTGTGTAAGAAATGGTACTACCCAGTAAAAAAAATCCCCCCCGGCAAAAGAAACCAAAACCAGTGCTGATAACAGAAGATGTGGAACTCAAAAATACAAATTTAGTGTTTTCCCAAAGGCTGTTTTTGCTACCCAAGCACTCAGATTCATGTACCCTCTCACACTGCTGTAAACATTTGAAAGACTTGTTTGCATGCTGTGCCAAACAAAGGATGTAACCCCAATCAGAGATTTAGCAGAGAAAATACTTAACGCAGCTGAAACCAAGCACATCTAGTCCTAAGGCAGTGTGGTCCAGAAGCAGTTACTAAGGTGACATTAACTGCAAGTTAACAAGAAAAGAATGCAGATTCAGTACTACAGAAAGAGCAGATAATAGTGGAAAAGAGTCCAAGAAAGCCTTTTGTCACCTCTCTTTAGGAAAAACATTGATGCTAGTGTTTGTAACTTTGGTGCTGCGAGTACAAAAGGTACAGGGACAGTTACAAAGTCAAAGCATCAGCACCACACAAGTAGTCACAGTCATCATCAGAACTTACAATAAAGCAGCACTAAATGAGTTCAGTAAGCACTACGACCACTAAAACACATACCTCAGAATGTATTACAAAGTTTTCAGTGGACAAAGTCTTTTTATCACATAAAAGATACTTTAAATAAGGAACCCAGAGCTGAGAAAAGAAATTCCAATATCCTACTCCGGATAGTCCTCCATATGCAAGTAATTCCACTCATTTCAGCTGGAGGTTCTCCCAACACAAGGAACAGCTTCTAGTCAGCTATCCCCTCTACAGGAGTTAGCCATCAGCAGATGTCAAGTTTTGCAAAGCATCCACCTGAGACCAAGACTGGTTGGGGAGGAAGTGGGGCTGGGGCAGGCACTGTCCAGCCAGGGCAGGGTGTGGGACAAGAGCTGCGGGTGGTTCATCCAGGAAATGAGCTCCCCGCCGCTGTGCATCCCCCAGGAGAGGCATGGGGGACATATGCCCCTGGATCTGTGTGTGAGGCAAGGGCAGGCTGCCCATTGTGGGCTTGGAGGCTGTGCCAGCCTCTTCCTGGCGGGGGGAGGGCTGTGTTGCAGCTGCACTTAGGGAGGTGGGACAGGCAGCAGTGGGGCTGAGAGGGGTGTCTACGACAAATTTTGGGGTGACTTGCCTCTGCCCCCCTCCAGGAAGAGTCCACAGCAAGAAGCCTGCCCTCACCCTGTTTCCAGGGGGCACACGTCCCCCATGCCTCCCCTGGGGGTGTGCACAGTGGTATGAGCCACCCTCTCCCAATAAGCTACCCACAACTCTGTCCCACACCCTGCCCCACTCCCTCCCTCACTATGGGGGGGCCTTGACCTGCCCCCCCACGCCTTCCCACTAACCAACTTACCAGCCAGACACTGCTCTCCAAGCTGCCAGGCTGCATATCAGCAACCAGACTGGTATTGGCCAATATAGCTGGTTAATAATTGGCCATCAGTATCGGCCAAACAAACCTTTATTAGTGCACCCCTAGTTATCTAACAAAAAAACCCCATGCCAGATTCTCAGCACAAGACTTAATCAATCTAGAGAGGTTCAGGAACTCCACACTACTTAAGCTTGCCAATGATACTCAGTGTTGTTCCTAACCCACATGTAGCACTTCAACTTAACACCTGCAAACTCTTTGCAGAGAGCAAAGTACTTCCACCCTCCCACAAAGACACGTATGTATTAGGTATGCCTTTCCTACCATGCTGAAAAATGAAACACACTCACTCTATCAGTGTTAACTAACTCACTCTAGTTTACTTTTTTTTTTTTAACTGGAATATTTGCCATAATTCATATGGAAACATATATACTGATGTGGTGCACTGGTTAACAGTGAGTGCTAATATGACTCCTCAGCCAGCATGGAGTGGTACAGGACTAGGCACAACACCCCACTGAATTCAAATGTCCAATATTTAGTGCAGAGAGCCCACCCAGCACTGAATTACTAAGCATGGAGGAGGGGACATTAGAAAGCCAAGGATATTAGCATGAGCTCCAGCCTCTACTGAACTATCTGGGTAATTTGGAAAATCTTAGGGAGGTAGCTGCAGTATGGCAGGTTCAAGAGTACCCAAACGTACCAGGTTTGGAAAGTGCTGGCCTTAGTGTTAATTAATAAAAAGAGGAAAATAAAGATCACTATGTCAATGTATTTTCATTTAATTCCTTACATTTTTTGGTGAGGAGAGATGGTCTTAAAAAAAGGGATCGCTGTAGAAGCAACCTCTCCTCACTAGCATCAGGTCTTGTCAAATTAAGACATATAAGGAAAAGCCTAGCTTTCTTCTGTTAAAGGCATGGCAAGAACTGCCAAGGCCATCTGGTATCAAAGTATGTAAGGAGGGGCTCACTGCTCCTACAGAAAATAGCAAGATAGTCCACCCACTTATAAAGGAACACTGTTTCCCAGTAGGGTACTAATGTGAATAGTACAGCTTCCCTTAAATGGTCCTTAACACAGCAGTTGCACTTCCTTTATCCATTCCTCTCCTATCCTATGATGCAAATTAACAGCTGGTGAAATAGTGCTGTCATCAGCCAAGCACAATTGTTCAAAAAAACTTCTTCCCTTCCCATGCCTCTTAAAAGGAATCATGGGCAATAGCAAACGCTTAGCCTAATCCAGGGAGCCAACATTTCTGGCAACTGTGCTACAATTTAGGGTCACTCCCCCAAAGTGTCATTCTTGATCTCCTTCCTTTGCCTAATCTACTGCTCTGCTTTCTGCTCCCTACCCTATCCCCCTTCTATGCTTTCTGATCCCTGCACTATGACCCCTGCTTGATTTCCTGATCCACTTTCTGCTTCCTACCCTATCTGCTGCTGTTCTGCTTGTCCCCCCTCCCTCATCTACCACATGCCATGCACAGAAGCTTTCCTTATCACTTTGTGGCACTCATGTAACAGGTTGGCCACCCCTGCCCTAATCAATCCTTGATTGTACCCACATGGCAGTTGAGAAAATGAACTGCTCTTTAGCATCCCGATTAAAACAAAAAGAGCAAGCTCATCAAAAGAAACCTTCAAGAGAAGACAAAAGCTGAAGGAAGTAGAAAGATTATAAAACTTGGCAAATACTGGATCATTAGTATACACAAACCACTTCTACTTGGTTTTTAACAAGAAAGCCATCCACAAATAAATTAACTTTTGTAGTATTTCCAGTACTGAAATGAACTCTTTATCCAATCCGTTCTTTTTTTCCCCCCAAACTTTTTTCTTCTCCCAAATCGCCTAGAATTTCTCTCCCCCCACAGCCCCCCACACTTTGTATGTTCTTGCCCTGAATTTCCCAAGTTACATTTTTAGGGATCTTTGCTGTGGGAACCACATGCCTGTATTGAGATCATGTATTTTACTGCTTTAGGCTCTTTAATCAAAAGTCATTGAACATTAATAAGGGGGACAACCTAAAATTTTTAATTATTTTAGAAAGTAACTGTGTTTCAGGTATTAAATATACCATTATGTGGGGTTTTATAAACACTTTTTTTTTACATTCTTTATCTTTTCTATGTTGCAAACGTGTGATCTTCAGACAAATATTACGTTTTTCAGCAAACCTAGTGATGTCAATTATTTGTAAAATGAGTAAAGAAAAATATATTTTCCCTTGAATATTTTAGCCATAGTAATTTAAGACAACTTGGTAAGAAAAAGTAAATAAAATATTGTTTAAGCTTTCAATTAAAAACATTTCAAAATGAACTTTTCAAATAACTAACCCAGTAGGAACTCTAAATTATTAATACAAAAGCAAGCTATAAATAAATACCCACTTAATAAAGCATTTAGCAGCTGAGCCATTTGGAAAAATATCCTAAGCCTAGCCAAGTCACTGGAAACGTGTGTGAAAAAACACGTGAATGTTTATATAAAAAAATATGTGGAACAAAATACCTTTGTTTTCCAGAAGCAGAATGCATTATTAAGAGTTTACTTATTAAGCATCACAGAAAGCCAAATATGTTGTGACAGAAGGGATATATATCCGTTGTTCATGCCCAAAACTTTTAAATAAGATAGACTTCATGATGCTTTTAGAATTTTAACATTCTAAAAATGACGAGAGACACCATTCTGGTATGTCAAGATGGAATGTAAAACTGCTTGGCATCCAATACAGCCTTTTGAGAGAATTAAAAAAAATTCCACAGCACATTTTTTTTAGTGTAAGTGCACACAGCCAGTTTCCCCTCTTTCCATTACTTTGCATTGTAGTGGTTCTTTTCCACACCAAGGGTTTCAGTGTTTATTAGTGTGGCCTGTCAAAAGCACTAAGATCTTCTGTAATGAAAAAGGCAATGTTGGTTTAAAACAATTCAATTAGATAGAAAAAAAAACCCCTCCCCCCCCAAACGTGCAAATGTGTTCCTTTGATTGTCTATACGGTTAGACCCCAAAGTTGGGCTCCAAAGCAAAAAAGATTTTCAGTTACAAAAACAAAAAATAGTTCCCAACACATAGTTATGTCCAGGGGAGAAGGCCAGAGATGTGCAGTGACAGTTATTCATGTCTATCATAATATGAAAATTTTAACTTGATTCAAGTTAGGAACACATGCAACATTCAAAACAGAAGAGTAAAAAATCTCTACCACTGAATCTATGAAGCTACCCCAATATGCTTAATTACTACCACTGTATTCCTTTGAGTATAAATGTGTTGGGGTTTTGGGTTTTTTTTAAGTATTTCTTCTAAAATAGCTACATTTTAAATTTGAGTTAAAAATAAAAAACATTCTTATAGACACCACAGAACTTCTAGTCTTGTACATTTATCTTCATCTGGCACCTTCTGTCCTAAAAATTAAGTGTCAGAAAATTTGACCATGTCTTAAATTTGAAGACATACAGTATTTAGACTGTGTCAAAACAAGACTGTGGCCCTGGTATCACCTTTTAATCTGCAGAAGTCTGTATCGCACTTGATTTTAAGATATTTGTCTGAAAATAGCATAACTTCAGTAGAAGTACTGCCCCTCTCTCTATTATGCATTTTATTAAAGGGCCAATCATCTAACAAACTCTCTGACACTTTTACCACCATACACAAATAATATACAATCAATATACTACACATAAAATAGTGAGAACAGATTATCTTTACACTGAGTATCTGATTTTTACCTTGCCTCATCAGCATTAACTGATGTTCATGTCTAGCTGCTTCCATTTCTGCCTCTAGTTTCTCTTTGGCTTCTCTAATGTTTCTGTCAACCTGTTCACGTTGTTGTTTTTCCATCTCATCAAGAGCCTTCCACCGTGAAGCATACTCAAACTCAAAAGTTCCAGGCTGAGCAAAACGTGGAGGCTGTTCTCTTTAATGTAAAGAGATATATATATATATATATATATATATATATTTGTCTATTTAGGAGTACTAAATATACTCCTAATGATGCATTTCAATTAATATATTTCTAATTTCAAATCAAATGGCCAAACATAAGACTAATTGTTTTCCAAATGTAAATCTTAAAACTGCACATTAGCACCGTAGAGATCACCCTGCATGACCAAATAAAAATTTAAATAAATAATAAATATGAAACCAAATAAAACCCCCACATAATTATATCTTATTATCAAATACTTTGTTTCATGTTTAAATACTGAAAATATCTGCTGCTTTAGTAAAAAGCTATGAAATTAATCTAACAACTATCAGGCTTCTACAGCAAGAAGCTGCATATATGACTTACGAATAGGGACCTACTTAATTTGCAGTTCTCACTGAAACCGTGAAACCAGCAGTATTTGCAATCCCCGGGAAATATTCCAGCCACAGTTTTCTGCAAAATCAACCCCCCACCCTGCAAAAAACAGTGTATTATTCATATTCTAATATGAATACGCTGTTTAGACTCTCCCAATCCTTACCACAATACTTAAGACAAACCCTATAGCAGCAATCCCTATAGCCACTCTCACATGCTTGAGACTTACTGACTGTCTGCAGTGATGGCAGGGCCTCTCTGCCAATCAGCAGTGATGGCAGGGCCACCGGGAAATGCCCACCTTATCAGCCCTTCATGCCATGAGCAAACTATGAAAATGGCTCTCTCTGATCATGAGTTAAGTAGGTCCCCACTTGTGAACCTGAATGCATCAAAACTTGCTACAGTACTAAAGTATTACTAAAAGTTTTTAAAAGCTAACACTATCTTTTCAGTTGACAATATACTTTCTAACAAAATGCTTTGCTTTTTAATTTTACAATGGCACATGTACAAAAACAGTTATCATATACATCATTTGTAGAAAGTTATTCTGTTCTTGCAAGCCATTCTGCCTCCAGCAATCAACATTTCTGGATGCACAAGTTGCAAAATCAAAAGATGTATTTATTGATCAGTGATAAATTAAAGAACCTTTGTTCTACCTGGCGTTTAAAGTTATACAGCTGCTTATGTTGCTGCAGTAGCTAAGACCCTGTTCTGCAAAGACACACACACGCTTAATTTAACAGAGTTAAATTTAACAAAAGCTGAGTGAACTATTCATAGGATTTAAAAGCAAGCATGAGGCAAACAATCTTCTGCAGTATCATGGCCTGAGTACCTATAATTTGAGGTTGCATTTCACAAACAGGAAGTCCTCACATCTAAAAATCAATGGACCAAACAATTACATCAATGATTAAATATTATTAAACGCTCTAATTGATAAACAATTCTATCAATGATTATATCAGCATTTCTGATGTTCTTTTCACTACCCTGAACACACGTCAAGGCAAAGTACAAGAGATTCTTGCCTACCAAGCCGAACTAAGATAGATGACCATATATCCAACTTACTTATGATATTGTTGTGTTTTTTGCATTAACTTCTCTGGCAGTCCATCTTCATTATCGAACTGTTCCATAGGTTCTACAACCACAGGGCGAGGTGTTCTGAAAGAAATGTTTTAACTAATGAAATCCACATTGAAACAGGTAACCATGTAATATTTTGAAAATGCATTCTAAAAATGTCTTACTTCATGTAAACATTAATTCCTTCAAAAACATTTTGTTAGCAGCAAATCTGCCTTGCAAACAAGCCACTTATTTTGCATGGAAAACATTATTGCCTTTTTTTCTGTCCCCTATTTGGCTAATAAAATTAATTAATTAATTAAGCTAAAATCCATGTAGAAAAGAATTAAACTCTCTGAGGCAAGAAGCATCTTTTAACTTTCACTTAAACATTTTTTCTAGATCTTATACTGACAAATTAAACCTCTCAAATGAAAACAGATGGGTTATGTTCCTGAGTCTGCTCATGGTTAACTTCAGTGTTTCTACTTATAGTTTTACCAAGTTGCAGTGGAGTAAAAACAAACCAGTAAAACTGATCAAACTCTGATTACTAATAACTCCAGAGGCAGGAATGAAATCAGTAAGAATCAAAATAACTATGGATAATTCTGAAAGACTAGAAAATGGATACAAAATATGGGTGAATAATTAAATTGCAATCAAACAGATAATCTATTCAAGAAAATGTTATCATTAATCAGTTAGACTTATGCATGTTAGTCTATTGTTCATAACAGTCCTGCACCTATCTGCAGATGTAGAAAACTGGGGGGGAGGGGGGGGCGCACAGCAGTGCATGGGTCATATGCCTCCCCAGCATCAACTGTACTTCAGAGCTCCTTCCCTTCCCCACATACCCACTCCCCTCCTCACTGCAGGTGGGGGCAGCAGGTCAGGAGTGAGAGGCAAAAGCAGGGGCAAGGCACTGGCATACCAGGGCTGTTCAGCACCACAAAGCAGCAGCAGGGGGACAGATGCAGCTAAACCCACATCCTGGTGAGGAAAGGGGGCAAGGGGGGGCTCTAATTTTCCATTATAAAAAAAACTCAAAATCAAATATCAAAATATATATATTTAGAATTTATTTTATTATAACGAATGAAGCACTGGTAGGCTTACAAATTGCAGTAGAGATGCACTAATGCATCGGTCCGATATCGGACCAGCGCTGATGCAAAGAAAATCAATCATATTGAAAGTCGGCCTGATGCAGCTGATAATTTGGCGGATAAATGCCCATGTGTGCACGCAGCTGCAGCACAGCACATAAGCAGTGAGGAGCACAGCCCAGCAACTTGGACAAAAGCAGCTGGTAAGTCGTGTTGTGGAAGGGGAGGGGAGGGGAGGGGAGAGGGAAAGGGCATGGGGGAGGAAGATTTAGGCCCCCAGTGATGAGGGAAGAGTGGGGCTGGAGTAAGTGCTGCCCAGCCAGGATGGGCACAAGACAGAGCTGCTGCACACTGCTGGTGTAGCACTCACCCACCGAGCACCAGACTAGCAGCACACAGTAACAGGAGCCACCCCCCCACAACCTCCCTGGGGCTCCATCCCGTGCCCACTCCAGCTGGGCAGTACTTGCCCCTCCCCCAGCCACAGTCCTCCCTCACCTTGGGGGCCTTAATCTGCCCCCCCCATGCCCCTTCCCTTCCCCCACACCAGACTTATCAGCTGCACACAGCTCATCCAAGCTGCTGGGCTGGTATCAGAAATTGGTATTGGCTGATACACCTCCTTTAAAAATCAGCTATCAGTATCAGCAAATCTCTATCAGTGCACCCCCACTTTAAAGTTGTATATCAATAAAATATTGTATTCAACTGACACCTATATATATTTTTAGTGGTGTTTCATTTTAATTGCAGAAGAATGCGGGCTTAATCAGAGAATTTGGGAGGGTTTTTTAATCAAAGAATTTGGGATATTTAAACAGACAAAACCAGGACCCCTGCTTATGAGGCAGTTTTCTCCACATTTTAAACGCATTCACAAAAATTAACCGGGGGGGGGGGGGGGGGGGGAGAAACCTACAAAACAAGAGGGGGGGGGGGGGGGGGGGGGGGGGGGAAGAAAGACACCTTAAAAACTTACGTAGTCAGTAAGAATGCCCCATCATTGCATCTTTCTAGAGCCTTCCGTGCTGGAGGTTTTGCTGCAAACTCCACAAAACCTTTCCCTGTAGCTCTACCACGGTCATCTACTACAACAACAGCTCTCTCCACTGGGCCAAACTGAGAGAAGGCTTGTTCCAGTAGCTCATTCGAAACCACAGGTGAAAGATTCTTGATTGTTAAGGCAGCTCCATGTGTAGCAAAACGAATTCTAAGTGGTCTGCTCTTCAAAATCGTACCATCAAGTTCTGCCTTTGCTATTTCAGCAAGTGTCCTAGATTCCTTTTTCAAAGGGAAAAAAAACAAACACATTTTATGCACACTCCTATTCCATTTTCTACAAAGCTACTTTGCCCTTTAAAACATTAATTTTTATTTTACATGTGTTAAAACTGAGGGGGAATGCTTCAACACTGAAAGTACACTCTTCTCAAAGAAGGATGTTTGTGCCCAAAAGCTTGCAAAGAACAATTTTTCCAACTATTCAGTTGATCTATAAAAAGATATCACATTTACCCAAAGGACCTCATCCGCCTATGGGCATTTATACACGTACGTTTGTCTGCTCCGATGTGCTGAAAATCCAGCACGTTGGAACAGACTTGATTAATCGAGTCTGCAGAGCATGTGAACTGACCAGTGCCCAGCACTGCATCACATGTGTTTGTATCAACTGCGAACTGTGCGTCAGCACTAAGAAAATGGCAGTGGTGTGCTTGGAAACGAAAACACCTTCAATGTGTTTTAGTTCAAAAGGATGCTGCCGCCATTTTCTCAGCCCTGACATGCATTTCGCCATTTATATAAATGTATGCAACTTAGCGCTGGGCACTTTTAAAAGCTACAACCAATATCCTATTCTCGGAGCTGTTTCAGATTACATTTGATTTGAGCAATCTGCATGTGGCTCCCCCACAATCTATTTAAAAAAATGCCTCTTAAATGTATGTTTTAGTTGTGAGCTAGAGGAAATTCCCCACACCAAGACAGAAAAGAATTCAGCTTGTTACCTAAATAGTAAGATTTCAAATCTCTCTTTTTTTAGTACTTTTCTATTCATCATGTTTATGTGACCATTCCACATTCAAGGATTACACTCTAGCTCAGGGGTGGGCAAAATGCAGCCGGGGACCAGATGTGGCCCGCCAGGCCATTCTGTCTGGCCTGCAGGGCCCCTAAAAAATTTAGAAAATTAATATTTACCTGCCCTGGGCTGCCTGTCATGCGACCCTTGATGGCTTGCCAAAACTCATTAAGCAGCCCTCTGTCCAAAATAATTGCCCACCCCTGCTCTAGTTCCTCTTCAGGTCCCATAAATATTTCTAGATTTATTTCTCAAATTGGACAGTGCCTTGCAGTGGTGACAGGTAGGGGGTGCATGTGCACCCCAAGAGTGCTGGTGCACCCCGACAGGCCACGATCCCCACTTGGGTGACCGGCAGGCAGGAGCACCAATGACCCACTGCGAGCGCCAGACGAAGTGTCACAGCCACTTCCCAGTCAGCGTAATTGGCTACGGCGGACCCCCGTCAGCAAAACTGGCCACAGTCACTGACTGTCATTAGGGAGGGCATGTGTCCCCCCCACCTCCAACTAAGGTGGTACCAGTCACCCATGGTGCCTTGGAAGAAAGAAGGATTTTAAAATTCACAAGGAGCTCCTTTTTTTAGTTAGCTTGGTTAGTTATTATCTACTATAAGTACTGATTGAATCAGTACCCTTCCTAAATCAACACAATCTATATTTTAGAAGTAAACTGCTTTAGATTCCCTTGAGATTCTTTATTGTAGCTTCTGTACTTTCCATTTTTACTTTAAACAACTACTATTCCTCACTTGTTTTCATCCTTTGTCCACTCTAACCCACAAGTCAGCTTTTCCCAACATCCTCTTTTCTTAGTTGGAGCTTTTCTTTCACTTATGCCGAATATTCTTCTGCTAAAAGAGCCATTCCTCAAGCCAAGGAAACAGGATGATGCTTCCTCCACAGCCCATTAAAAGTGTTCAGATAACTAGATAAATTGCTAAAGGGCAACATGAGTTGCTTCATCCCTCATTATGCCTAGAAACTGCCCATCAGCAAAACAAAAAAAATGTATTTTATCTTATATCATAAATTGTGATGGGGGGAGGGGAAGAAGACTACACAAACCAACACTTAAAAGCGCATAGGCAAGTGAGAGTTAGAAAACTTACATTAGAAATGGCTTAAGAAAAACAAGTCTCAACTACTGAAAGGTAGAGGGGCAATTAAGGAAGCCAAAAAACCTTAAATTCCCACCTGCCAGCCAACTATGTGTATATTAACTATACCAATGGGGGGGCCAGCAGGCCCCCCTCTGATCCTCTTCCTCTGCCTGATCTGTTCTGTTCCCTCCTAGATCTGTTCTTTTTGCTTCCTTTCCTACCAGCTCCTTCCGAATCTGCCAGATGCTGCACACAAAGGCTACCCCAATGCCACTTCTGTTCCTCGTATGGCAGGCTGCCCATCTCTACTCTATCCGTTGTAAACTGTACACAGAAACAGTCATGACAGCATTGACTAATTAAACTAGAGGCAAGACAGCATTGACTAATTAAACTAGAGGCAATTCCTTATGGATGGGGAGGAACGGAGGACTGAAAAAATGGGGGTTTTTTTGACACATTCAACTGGAAATACCAGAATGCACGTTTTAAACAGGAACCATCCCCATGAGCAGCCCAGGCCATTCAGGGTATTTGCAATTAAACACCACAAGGCTTTGAGATCTCCATGCGAGTCCTTGCTTTCATGGAGATCTTGGCAGTGTGCATGGAAACCACAAGCACACCTGTCTACATGGGCCCATACCTGCGGTCTTCAGGGTTGGGCCAAACAGGCTGCACCAAAAAAAAGAGTGGGTAGGGGGAAACAGGGGGTGGTCTTTCAGCCCTAATGGAGCAGCACGGGGCCTCCCGTCCCTGCAGAGGGTAGCATCAGCCACCCGCCCGCTCGCACAAGGAAACTTCTGGAAGCGCGGGGGGGGGGCGGGAAGTAGCCCGGAGGGGCCGGTTCCAGCGGGTCCCCACAGGCGGCGGGCAGGAAGCGAGGGGCTGGCCTTACCAAGCGGATGAAGCCGAAGCCGCGGTCCCGGTTGATGAAGACCTCGCTGGGCTCCCCGTAGCGCTCGAAGAGGCGCTTGAAGTCCTCCTCGGTGATGTCGGTGGGCAGGTTACCGACGAAGAGGCGGCAGCGCTGCGTATAGCTCTTCTCGCCGGGCTTCAGGAAGCTCTTGATGTCAATGGTGAAGCCGCGCCCCTGCTCCTCGTCCCCGGGCTCCTTGCCCAGCGCCATGGCGGCCGCCTCGTTCTCCGCCTCCAGGCCGCGCAGCCCCTTCATGCCGCCGCCGCCCACCACACCCAGCGGCGCCGCCGGGGAGCTGTTCTCGATCCGCACCTGCTTCAGATTCCGGTTCGCCGCCATGTTCTCCGGCTCTCTCGGGGGACGCAGCGCCTCGCTCAGCCGCCGCCGCTTCCAACCGCAGCCGATTCAAAATGGCGTCGCCGCTGGGCCAGACAAGTTGTAACGTCCCTGGCGCAAGCCCCGCCCCACACCGCCTCGTGAGACGCGGCGCCTGCGCAATGGGCCTCTCGCGTCCAGTCCTGGAGAGCGAGGGCGGGGGATGGGGCCAGGATCCTGAGCCCACGTGACCGGCTCGCAGCAGTTGGGGAGGGCGAACTCGGGGTCACCCCCTGCCCCCGCCTGAGGTTACCTGCGTGCGCACCCGGTCTCGTGCCGGGACGTTCTCCCGCCTCAGCCGCCCTGGTGCGCAGCGTCCCGCCCTCCTCGGCGCCATTTTGGCACGTTGTGAGAGGCTCTGAGATCCTCGCTGCGACTGGGGGCGCTTTAGCCGCTGTTTAGCCCGCTTCAAAACAAAGGGGCTGGACAAATTCTGGGAGAGAAGGGGAACTAGTTCCTGTTGAGTATGGACGTTAGGGCTGCAGGCTCTGGATCCCAGCTTCCTAGACCTTGAATCCTGGAGGCTGCAAGTGAAAAAGGAATGGGGGAAGAAACGGGTCGTGCCCAGCTCACTCTCCCTTTCGGGGTCACCGTCGTGAGGCAGGCACCTGAGCCATTCCTGAATGTGGAACAAGCCCACCAACTAGAGCTGTGAGCCCCCCCTGGATGGTGGCGCAGGGGGACTGCTAAGGGCACATTTTTGATTGCTTGGGACAAATACAAGATGCAAGAGGGATGGGAGTGGCAGTCAACAGTTGCAAACAAGCGCGCCAAGCAGGGACAGGGAGCAGAGCGCACGGGACAGTGCCCGCTGGCCTTCAAATGTGTCCAAAGAGCAGTGGCGTACTGTGGGTCTCTGGTGCCGGGAGGCCAATGCTTGCATTTGTGCCCCTTCCACGGGAGGGAGGTGGTCTCCCAGCAGCTGATTGCCAAGTCCAGAAATGCTGGTGTTGAAAATAGAATTGCTGCCAGGGGACCGAGTACCTCCTGGAGGGCCTGGCTGGCGCCCTCACTAGGCCATCACCTGGGGGCAGGCCCCCCCACCCTCTCCTGTTGGTATGCCACTGCCAAGGAGCCAGTGGATGCTGCCCAGTGACATTTCCCAGAAATGTGATGGGACCAGGGACAGGAAAACAGCCCTGCAGTCCCTGGGGGTCCCAGTTGCTAGAGCTTCCTTCCTGGTCAGGTATATCATTAGCTTGGAGGGGGTAGACCAGGAAGTCCTGGGATTTGGTGGGGCTGCAGATAGGGAATGCATAAATGAAAAGGTGTGCCAAGTAGTGCAGCTAGAGCCCCAGCAGGAGGTTCTAGAGGAAGTGGTGAAGGGGCTTCAGGTAGGGTCTCCCTCTGCCTGCAGAAGGGGAAGGTTTTAGGGGAAGCCATGAAGTATGCCTGTGGATACATGCCTGTGGCAACAGCTCTGTGGAGAAACTGCCAGCTCAGGTTGCAGGTAGTTCAAATGATCAAGATAGAGTATATGCTTGTCCACCTGGGAACTTCCTCCTCACCAAGGGTGTCCTGACACATGGTATCCAGGCAGGGTGCAAAGGAATGATGGATGGTACGGACCACAAACATGTAGAGCTGGCAGGGATGCATTGTATGGACGCAGTCTGGCTTGGTATTCCCCAGCCTGCTGCGATGGTGTGGTGAGAAGATGGACCTATCATCTGACCCAGTACGTGGCAGTGCTTATGCTCTAACAAGTCTCAACTGAATAACAAATGCAAAGTGTGATTTGTAGGAAGGAGGAATTGAATACACAAATGCAAAATCAAGATACCTGGCTAGGTGAAAGGATGGTGGAAAAGGATGTTTAAGTTACAAATCGGCAGTTAGCAACGTTTTCTGGCAGTGGGACAGAATGGCCCTGCTCAAGGCCAAGACTGATCTGTGGCCTCAAAATCCTTTTCCATTTTTCTTCCATCTAGCAGCATGTTACTGAATCCATCCCATGAGCTATAGGTTGATAACCCCTCTTGTAGAAACATGATAAATTAAGTATGGTTTTATGCTCTGAAGTTATCATATAAAAGTTAATGGACAGGAGTTATTTGTGGAGTTATTAAAGCAGACTCGCATGTAAAACACAGAAGGGAATTATTCCACTCAAAACTACACTTTAAGAAGGATACAGACATGCTGGAAATAGATTCAGAGAAGATCAACAAGAATTAAGAGC